CTTTATGTCCCGAAAACGAGGACGATAGTTTTGCATAAACATGTTGGCTAACAATGCGTGAAGAGAATGTGAGAAAAGGTTAATTAATTTATGTCGCACATGGTTAATGCCCATTCGGGGACCCCAGCGGGGACCTCTGCTGCTTTATAGTTTCCCCGGTGCGTTAATGGACACATCCGACTGCCCTTCCGCCTGCCTATGATTAAAACTAGGCATGTTTGTCCATTTAAGCCCATAATTACTGTCGTAAATCACTCCAAAGTCAGCGCCCACGTTTCGCACCTCGGAGTTGTTTTTGTATTTCTGGATGGTGGGGGGCTTGGCTTGTAAGAGGTATCCATTGTAATGCCCCTTTGCCTAATGAGTCTAATTGGGGGTTGAAACGGCCCTTAAGAACCCTTTTTCGGTTTCGAATATGGCCGAGTCTTTAGTTGGCCATATGAGTGGCCATGATGCGGTGCCAAAAGGTGTCATCGTGCCCCATCATTAGCGCCATTTGTGTTGGCCCTGCGGAGTGTGCTAAGCAGGTCTGTGAAACCGGTTCATTTGCATATCAAAGGCCATAATCAGCACCTTGCAAAACAGTTCGGAACAAGGTCCGAGTGCATACATATACATATACATACCAGTTTTTATGGCTGGAAGGGGGGTGGTGGCCATATGGACGGACAGGCATCAACCATATTGACAGGCTCCATTTGCCATTTGTTCATTTGCATGCCAAACTCACCTCACACCTGCATTTTCACCTGGGGTTAATGCCTCCACGTAAGGCGTGAAAATTACGAGTCCTGGCATTAGCGTTAATTGGCTGTGCGTGCGACAGATACGTGTACGTGTGGCTTGGCATAAAAGATACACAAAAGTGTATCTGCTGAACTGAAAGGCGGTCTGTAGTCCGCACTGAACCGGTTTTAAATCTGCAGTATTATGAAAATTATGGTATTTTCACCATTTTCTTGAAATCACTGGAGAGTCCTATGCCGCCTTCTCCGCCGACGATTGTCTCCCCGCTTTTCCTTCAACTGGGAAACAGTTTGGAATTGAAACAGTCTTGAACGTGGCTCCCACTCCTGATCCCCGAGCACGCCCCCCTTCCCAAACGATTTGCACCAACTGGACGAGGCGAAATTGCCGCAGCTGCGCAGTGCAGGACCTCGTCTAACTTCCAAGTTGGAACCCCAAACGATTCAGGGCGGAGTCATCGCGGCATTGGCGGGCACCTTTCTACACCGATTGTCGGGATTTAGGTGCACACCCACACCCACACACACACACAGGCACACGCACACTCTATCCGGGACTTTCCCGTCCCCGATTTTCCACCAACACCATCAGCTTTTCCTCGCCGTGGAGCCGAGGGGGAAACTTGGAGGAGGCCTTCGCCCAGTCCATCAGCGGCAATCCGTTAAATATTTTAATGGCCAACAATGGCATTTTTCGCAACGAATTTACGATGATTCAAGACAAATATTTGCTCGTGTTCTGGGCTTTAAATGTTTATTCTACCAGATTGAAGGAATACAGAAAAAATTAATAAGCAACACCAGGCACAGGAGCAATGAATTTGATAGAAAAGTGTTCCCAAAGTAACTAAATTAAAATCTCAATTAAACGTGTGACATAGAGGCACTTAATTTAAATGAAACTAACTATTAGTCAAGAGATACAACTAAAGAGTTATTGAGTTAACTAAACTAAACCCTTATTTTAATTTGGAAATAGTTACGATTCCTTTTCTTAAACTTAAAAAAAATCGATTAATCTTAACACTTTTATATTGATTTAAATATAAACTAATCATTATATTTATGAACACGTTTTGCTCGACCTGTAAACTTAATTAAAAACCTTACTAAGAAACATAAAAATCTCTAATGCTTAACAAATCGAATTTATAATTGCCATGAAAGCACAAGTTTATTATTAAATTTAATAAGTCATTTCTATAATTATTTTAAAGCAATCTTATTTGATTATTTTAGTGTTATAAAGATATACGTACATATTGAATTATGCTTTGTAAATCTTGCTTATTGGCAAACCAACCATTATTAAGCATAGCGTTTGATGTATGTATGTATTGTAATGCATTGTTTTGAATAATAAATAAAATTATATTAAATAATTTTGTTTTGCTAACTTAAAATATATGTATACTAGTGTAAGAAAATGTTCTTGGAATTTTAACAAAGTGACTTTAAAATAGCATGTAGGTTAAAACAGAAATTAACGGGTTTCACAAAAATATTTTTAAGCAATTCATAATGATAACCAGTTTTAAGTTCAGCTTATTCTTTCAAAAGAACTTCTGCTTCGAAGACAAAGGATTTCTTTAACTATTATGGCCAAGTTTACATTCGCTTAGTCGCCGAAATTGACATTTCTAGCATTCTAGCTGATAAGTCGACGGCGACATAACCATTTCGGGCTTGTAATGTCTTGGGGGAAACTTTCAACTGGCAGGACTCAATGGTTATTGGCCCGGCCAAGTGCTGCTCCATTCTTTTTTACGATGGCCTTACTGCGGTGTGAATGTGGCTCACATATGCTCCCCTGATTGCGGGTAATTGTCATGTAATAAAAGCGAGAATCATGCTCAGTATCTTCTTGGGCTTAGTGGGTGATGAGGCCATCCGAAGTGGAATAATGCCACCCTCAAAAGTGAACGATATCTACCGACAACTATTTGAGTCAGCATATTTTTCAAGAGTCTTTCTGGGAAAGGGTGGTGGACATGTCCCTGCTTATCTACCCATCCTCTCACCTGTGTAATTATTGCGGACCTTTGGCCACTCGTAAATTATGTGTGATCCCTATAGCTAATAGGTAATTTATGTGCTGACCGCAAACAACAAACCAACAACCAACAAACAAACCAAAACAAAAAAAAGGACAAACTTTGCCCGCAAAAAAGTAAAACAAATGTCCACGGATTTGGTGTCCATTAGCCTGCGGGTGGAAATTGGGAGAAAGGGGTTGACCATGTCTTGTGTGCTGGTCACCTCTGGTGAAAAAAGATATACTTCACTACCCACATCAGGTCCTTTTCGGACAATCTAATTACAAAGGCCTTGGGCACATGATATCCATGCTGGGCCTGCCCCTTTTACCATACACATTTTTCTGCAACTTTAAAGACACTTAAGCTTTAAATAATCCATTAGTCCAATGCCAGCACATCACCCAGCGGCGAGAGTAAGGGATTTAAAAGCTAAAACCTGTTGAGTTACATCTCAATTCCCCGAACACTTGGCTAACTAAAAAGCCAAAGGCCCCCATCCTTACCCCTTTTGTATTTGGCATTTGGTTGGGCGAAACTCCCTGCAAATTCACTTTGTCTATACGTCTTGGCACAGATTATGGCTGCTTTGAATAACAATCGATGGCGCGACATTGATGGAGGATGGCGCTACGGCATGGAATCCATTGTCTGGGTCCTAGTGCTCTTCTTTGGGCATTTTATTACCGTCTGGAGTGGCTGCATTTCCCTGGTTTCCCTCGCCTTTTTTTCATGCCTCTGATGTTCGAAAGCTATAAATGGTTTTTGTCATTTCGACTATCGATGGCAAAGTGAATTTTTACGACGGCAATATGCATGCCATGCCAACAGATCACAGATTTTGCCAATATAAATCGCTGACCCCTTTAGCCACCATATTATTAACATAATCATAATCATCATCTTCACCATCAGCATCAGCATTGATTTGTTCTAGCTTGATTAATGGAGTTATTCCATCGAGTCGAATCGAAACAGACTGGGTCAATGAATTCTCATTAAACCAATTTCGATGTGCATATTAATGAGCCACAGCGAATACAGGTGACATAATCAACCCAAAGTGTCAATAGTTATTAACTTGTTCAAGTTTGTAAATCAATTTAAAAGAGTTTCACTTGAGACTCACTCACAACTACAATTATAAGATTACAATCCGCCACAAAATTAACCTTGTTCAGAGCATTAAGTTCAAAATCTTTAATTTCATTGAGCTTTACTTCCCTACTCTCAAATCTCATTTTAAGTTGCTTGTCAACTTCTAAGACCCAAAACCAGAAATCTCAACTAGGAACAGCACAGCACTGAGTCATCGTCTTCATGACTTCTATATCTCCCATCTGAATACAATTGAATTATAATTGTTTTCGCTGGCAAACTTTATTGTATTTTTCTTTCTGCCCCTTCGTTTGTGCACATGCCGAATGGCCAACAATGTGCAGTGACTGAGACTTTGGCAATTATCATAAATAATTTCATTACAATAATTAGTGATGCACACCTAATGATGTTTAGGTAAAATTAATATGCTGATTTACTAAATACTCTCTCTATAGAAATAATAAAAAGTTAAAATTAATGAAAGAAGAAATAGAAATGAGAGAGAATATATAAAAATATACAAATAATTTGTTTATTGATAAAAGAAATGTTTTCCCTTTTAAAATGGAAACTGTAGGTACATAAATGAAATAGGTATGTTACACTTTTAATACTTAAACAAAGATTTTCGTGCCATAACAAACCATTTCCCATATTTGTTATACCCAATTTGTATAATTTGTACATTAACAACTGATGAATTAAAAATATCTTCAAATCAAACAATGCACAACACAATCACCATCTTCAAAGGGGAGAGGAAAAAAAGGCGAGGTGATCAGCGACAAAACAAATTAATCAACGAGGCAATCAGCGATAGCCATCGCGAAATAACCACGAAAATGAATCAAAGTTTTTGCCATACCCTGACCCACTGTGCGGTAAAATCGGGGATCTTTCGGGATGGTGGGGACAGGCGTAGACAAATGACAAAAGACGAAACAAAACTAACAAATTTTTGGCTCATTATTTGTTCTGGCTTCTCCAAAACAGCGCGAACCACAAAAAAAGTCCAAGCACTTCATTATAAACAGATAAACAGATCGTGTCGGGGGGGGAATATGGGGGGTATATCTGGGATCTCCAGCTCAAAAGCTTACAGCGATCGCTGGGCTCCAATGTTTTCAGTCGTCAAACGGCAGCATCCAACACAAGTCGCTAGTTGCGGAATCTACAGAAGCTTCAGAACCGGCAGAAACACTGTTCACCTGGGTGATCTTACAAGATGTTCGACAATCATCGGCTTATGGTAATTGTGATTGATCGCCCACGGCGAAGGCAATACAAGTTTAGAAGATGCTATTCCTGTAGACATATTTGCTTATCTGAACTGCAAATAAATAAAACTGATCAAAAGTTCGATTCAAAAGTGTTACCAAAAGTATAAAACGGAAAAGGATTCAAGGATAATACACAAAATAATAAGCAGCAAAACTGTGAAAAAAATTTTAAAAACTCATTTTCCATAACAAATATGGGAAATTATTTGTTCTTTTTAATTTAAAAGTAGAAGGATACAACTTTGAAATAATCAAACATATCTGTCAATATAAACTATTCAAAAATAAAATATTGCCTAACAGAGGAATCAAAATAAGTGGTAGTCTTTAAATTACATTCTAAATTAAACTAACTACTGGAAATTATATCTTTGATTTACAAATGAATATTGTAAAAATTTTCTCCCTTACTAACATTTAGAGTATGTTAATTATATTCCCCATATTGAAGGCGAAAAATCTTGCTGATAAATGTCTTGGCTTACACAGAGATTACTAAATCTAAATATGTATTTTTAAACCTTCAGCTTCTCTGCTTCTGCTTGGGAGCCATGATAAGCGTGTCCCTGGCCATCGAGGAGTCCTCAGACATCGAGGAGGATGTGATCAGCATAGCCAACCAGACGCAGAAGGTGATCCGCGTGCATCCGCAGGACCTGCCACCCAAAAAGGACAACACCGGCAGCCAAACGAACTCGGCCTTCTTCCAAATTCAGACCCTCCGCCCGTCCACAGCTGGATCTCAATCAGGATCTAAGTCCGGAGCTGGTCAGCGGCAGTATGTGGACTCCAAGCAGATGCGGAAAAGGCGAACACGGCCAGCCAAAATGCTGGATGGGAATGTGGCCGCCAGTGGTGAAGATGCGACGCAGCCAGCCTTGAAATACGAACTAAAAGCCTTTCCCAAGCAGAAACTCAAGCAGCAGAAGCAGCTAAACCTGGACACTAGGCTGGCTGGAGAGGGTGTGGTGGTGGGCCAAGGTCAAGTGTTGCCCGTCCAGATGACGCCGGGCCCGTATCCCATCTACTACGTGGTGTCCAAGACCAACGGCCGCTTCGGCAAGTTCCCCATCAAGGCCTTCCGCTCGCCCTCGGAGTTCGCCAAGTACCTGGTGAAGAGCAAGGCGGAGCCCATTGCCCGGGATGAGCGCTTCGAGGTGATCTTGTGATCTTCTCCACTTAGTCAAAGTTAATGCCTAAACGCCTAAATGCCTAAACGCCTAATGCCTAACTTATTACCCCCTAATCGTAGTCGTAACTATAATATAATACGAATGCTAATTGCTGCAATAAACATATGTCTAAATTTAGCTAATGAAACAAAAGCAAATCCGTTTGAGTCATAGTTTAAAAATTCTCTTCCCTTAATTGCCCGGGTTTTTCTGGTAATTACATGGCTTCTATCTTCATCTCTGACTCTATCCGCGGAGTTTGGCTAACTGTTTTGCTAGCCGTTAGCTGGCCTTGTCATATGCTAATTTGCCAGCGAATCGAATCGAGTGTCGCGTATAATTAAGCCCCGCATACCCATAACTATTGTTTGGCATTTACATACGCCAACAATAGATACATGGATACATAGATACGTAGATACGTAGATACATTTGATTTATGGCGTTCCCCTTTCGGCGGCTTTTTCTTGCGAATATCTTTCCAAGTGTCGTTTGCCTTTGTCGCTCTTCAGGTTTTCTTTTGTTAACGCGGTTCTTTGGCTGCTTTCTTCGCAAAACTACAGAACTTTCTCCCGCCCAAATATAGAATATGATAAGTTTTCAAAGATATGAATAAATTTCATAAACAGAATTGTTCTTAACCAAGCAATAGAAAAAAATACAATGAACTTGAATATGATACAATTCTTGGAAGTTTTTATGATTAATAATTGCAATTAAACAGGTTTTGAAACTGATTGTTTTGGAACAACATCAAAAAAAGTATTATAACTATCAAAAATTAATTCGCCTTCCATGCGATCAATTAAGTTGTGAATAATTGAGCGCTCATAATTATAATCAGCTGATTACATCGAAATCATCCATCCGCAATCAGGGAAAACTGTCAGATACTTTTCATTCGACTTCGCAAATCAGAAGCGAATGGAGGAAATAATAATTGCGATTTTTATGGCACACATGTATCTGGGGGTTGTGTGTCTAAGTCTGGTTAATCAACCTGCTGGCAGTACCCCTTATCCTCAAAATAAACCCACCCCCTCTCTTCCCCCAACCAGGCGCCCACTGCATTTCCCATTACTTTTGCTCATTTCGACTACGGCGAATGTGTAATGAACTTGTGGGCATGACGAGAACGCTGAGCAAAGTGTGATATCGAAATTTCCCAAAGGATTCAACGCCATATTTTTGCCAGCCACGAAAAAGATTCCTTCCTTGCAGTACCCCCTCTCATTCCCAATCTCCTCCTCCGAATGTGTGTGTGTGTGTGTGTGCGTGAAAAATTCAAAAAGAAAAAAGGAGGAAAAAACCCCAAAATAAAATCTTCAAGTAAGTTCCACAACTAGCAAGCGCAACTTCTGCGGGTCTCATCGTATAATCAAGCGTAAAAATGGGAAATTAATCAACTTCAGAGTCGACGTCTCAAGTTAACAACGCACAAGGAATTGAATTAAAACTTTTGGCCCCCTTGTAACCCCTTTTCCTGCCCTTAACTCGGGGCTTATTCAATTATGTATTTGCGCTTGTCCTGCAGTAAAAATTACAATCCAAAGGACAAGTCAACAGAATTATGAACAGCGCCTGGGCAGTAAAAAGTAAATAAAAATCCAACTCCGCGGCAAAGGAACAAAAAAATACTCGTACAGCATATATATTTTTCAAACTTTTCTCGGCGACAGAAGCTGGATTTTTTCCAGCCGTTTCGGGTGAGTTTCTTTTCTGCGGTAATTGCAACGTCTCGCTGTCCTCGGGGAAATGTGAAACAATAAATGAAAATAAATGAATTTTTGTTAGCCCAATAGCCAAGCAACCTCGGCCAATTGCCGCGGGGCATGGAGGCAACGGAAGGTAAAAAATTTCATTAATTTCCAGCTTGGCGGCTAACCGCCAACTTGATAACTTAACTTCATTGGGCCGAGGCTAATGCCTTTGCTCAGCAACATGACATTTGACAGCCCTTCGAAGTTCGAACCGTTCAAGGATTCCAAGGACCGATGCCAGCAGGAACCAGCACCAGTCGAAAGCCATTTGATCAAAAATTAATGTGTAGTTTGGTACATTCTGTCACATTATACGCGTGTCAGACGGTTTAAAGGGTTACAAATTGGGCAGCCAAAGACAACGCAGTCAAGTGCCGAGGGGTGGAAATTGTCGAAGAAAAGCCAGCACATTGGTTTGCAATTCATGGTTATGTGTAGTGGATTTTGTTTGGAAACAACTTATTTTTTTAAGTTTTTCAAAAAAAAATGTATATTGTTTACCTAGACGTGTACTTCTAATCTTTTAATTTGTACGACTGAAATCGGATTTTAAAGTGTTATACCATAAAAGTTTCAGGTTTAATTAATTTTTAATAAGCTTAAAATTTATAGTTTTACCATTTGTTAGTTTATACACATAAAAATGAGTAGAAACCAAATTCAGTTTTTAGTGCTAAGTAACAGTTGTCAATGAAATTGACTAATGAGTTTAATCTCATTAAATGCTGCTTTTTATGGCCTATGATTTTCATTTCTATTTATTTTGTATGCCTTTTAATTTTGTTTAGCTATTGACCTTTAAATTGTCCATTTGTCCATTTGTTTAAGCCAGTTTTTGATGTGAGATACAAATATTTAGTTTCATGTTATAGCTATAAGATTTCTGTATCTAAGAGTTTAAATAGTTTAAAGCTCTTACAGCCCACTGTGCCCTAGCCCACATAGGCATCAGCATTGGCACTACCAAGTTTGGCCCATAAAAAACACTGGCCTCATGTCCTCGAGACGTTGTTACTGACAGCCACGTGAAAAGGAGCAGGACCAGCAACGCAAACTTTGCGACAGGCCCGCCAAAAAAAAAAAAAAAAGAAGCGTGGTGACCCCAAGCAGGCCAGGATCTGTTGTTGGAGGAAGATGAGGTGGTGGAGGACCAAGGGAGCAGGCCGGCCGAGAACGACGCTGCTTAAATATTAATGCCTCGGGAGTCGGTGGGACAGACCATGAATAAATTTTTGGCTATGAATTTTCAATAGCCCGTCCTGCCCTTAAACTACGTTTGCAATTTGTTCCACGACTTTAAGAGTGTCAACCACTTTTCGCAGGTGAGTTTGCAGGGCATTAGGTGTCAGGTGAGTCACCGCAGAACCAAAATCGAACCGCAAAAGGGTCAGCGGAATTGAATTCATTTCGATTTTCACTTCCGTTCACTGTGGCATTGAAGGGGCGACCCCGATCCGAACTCCCAATGCGTGGGAACTTTACGAGTCTGCTGGGGGAAAAGGAGCCGGCGGGAATGGGAGTGGGCACGTGCGTATGGCGCCAATTGCCAAATGACCGCAAAAGCTCAGAGGTCGAGTGCCAGGCCATAGATGGCCCAATAAATGCTGTTCAATGATGCACCAAAAAAAAAAAAATCTAACTAAAATACGAAAAATTGTATCAAGAATGTTAGGTCTCAGCCATAAGCATTACCTTTTATATTTAAATATTATTTTATATATTATGAAATAGTACACAAAGTCTAAATATTAATTTAAAAGTTGAAATAATAAAGAAATTGACATCAGGATCTTTACAATCTTTTACAATCTTTCTATTTCAACACACACAAAATATAAAAGTTTATTAAACGACAGTTTTAAGATACTGATTTAATAGATAAAAAGTTTTAACAAGTTTCAAATATTCCGCTCATCCAGCTAAGTAAAATGTAATATTCATGGCAGTGAAAAGTTTCGTTTATTTAAGTAAAATTGTATAATACATTTCTCTCTGTGTCGAATTGGGGCTTTAATCAAAAACAAAACTCCAAACGGAAATGCTCTGCTACGAGCCCCAAACTGACATTGCCCACTGATTTTATTTGCTCATCCGGAGCACTTTATGAAGCTTTTATTTGATTTTTATGCCAGCCGCTATTTCCATTTCTGTAATTGAATTGTCATTGTCCGGGCGAAACCACGCAGCTAACCACTGACTACTGGTTGGTCCTCGTTCTCGTCCTTGTTTTGGGCATCCTTGCGGTGGTTCTGGTTGGTCAGCCTTGGCGCCCGTCCACCCGTTCGATATGTCCGGACATGTCAAAAGCGGTTTTGCGCTTGATTGGCGCCCGGACTCCCGGATAAACACCCAAAGGTATACAAAAGTGACGGACGCCGGACAAAGGACACTGGACAGTGGACACTGGACATGGCACGTCCCGGTGAAAAAAGGGTTGCGGTCACAAAGTTCCGCCCCAAGGCCATGGAATTGGTATAAAAATTGCCAGTTAGAAGTGTCCATTCATTGGCAAATTGCGGCAATTGATGTGGGTGAAACTTGAAAAGTTGTGTAGTTGGGTGGTGTTCTGATGGGTGATGTGCTAAAATGTCGGCAAACGAAAGTGAGCAAATAAAAGTGTCACAGGAAGAAAAGCAATTTGAAGTTTTCGTTGGTTGGGGAAAGTGTTTTCATTTGTAGAAAAGACTTAAGACACCTACTGAGGTTGCATGAATAAAAATACACATAAAAGGGAGATTTGTAAGTTAAGGTTGGTATAAGAGACACAAACTATTTACAACGTAAATTTATTTATTTTTTTTTTACAATAAAATATTTTTTATAAGACAATTTATAGTTTATAAAATAAAATTAATGTTGATGATGATAACATTACCTGATAAAGCGATACTAAAGGTATTCTAAGGAAGCCGTTAGTTCAACCTTTAAAAAATTCTATCTAACATAAAGTCACAAAATAAATAAGTAAACTATTTGAAAGTAAACTAACCCTTTTAAGAACTAATCTTGCAAAAAAAAAAACACCCTCTTTCATACACTCACATCTATCATTTCGGATGTTCTTGGGATCTCCCACGTTACGACATGCTTTCCACCTGTTCAAAAATGCAAACTCGCTTTTGCACACTCTTCGATGCCCATTTCGAGGACAATTTGAGCAGTTTTCATATTTAAAATTCCCAAAATGGTGCTACGTGAGATAATAATCGTTACATTTAATGGGATGCCAACTCCTGCTACTGCTGCAGATACATGTATATGTATTGAAGATACTTTCAGCACCGAGCAATTTGCACTGCCTGAAGGACGAGGAGGAAATAAATTTTAAGGAAAAGGGTTTTCTTGCGTTGAGTTGGCAACAAGAGAAGTTGGCAACAACCCCGGGGCTTTGGC